ATGGGCTTGAAAGGAACGCCCTTAAATCGAGACTTTCAAGCAGCACGAAAAAAGGAGAACCTTAATTTTATGAACCTATATGGAGCAACGTATGACAGAATACAACTGCTTCGTCACGTCGGAGATGTGTCGCAAATTGCCCATGCCAAGATGTATCAACTGACAGATGGCAATGAAAAGGGCGTTGATGCAATTGATTTCAGGACTGGGAGCGGCCTTAATTTTACCGTGCTACCGAGCCGCGGGTTAGATATCTCTTACGCGGAATATCAGGGCATTCCGCTCTGTTGGCGTTCAAGCACGGGGGATGTGAGTCCTGCACATTATGAACCGGATGGACTCGGTTGGCTACGCGGTTTCTACGGCGGCTTATTGACTACCTGTGGTATGCGGCAAGTCGGTGTGCCGGGCGAGGATGACGATGAGGCATTAGGGCTTCACGGCAGGGTTTCCCATATCCCCGCAAAAAATGTTTGGGTCGATAGCCGATGGGAAGGACACCGTTATATGCTATGGGCGCAAGGCAAAGGTTAAAGAGACCGCCGCTTTGGGTGAACATCTCTCGCGCACCCGCAGATTTGGACAGAGTTAGGATCCCGTACGTTGCATATTGAGGATATCGTTGAAAACTTGGGATACCAAAATTCACCGCACATGTATCTCTTCCATATTAACGTTGGGTTTCCGATCCTCGCCCAGAACAGCGAGCTGCTCGCTCCCTCTTCGCAGGTCACACCACGGGATGAACACGCTGCCGCAAACTTAAATAACTATAACTTCTGCGAACCGCCGACTGTTGATTTTCAGGAACAGGTATACTATCACGAAATGGAACCAGACGTTGATAATCACATCCGTGTTGCTCTCGTAAATCGCAATTTTAACAATGGACAAGGCATCGGTGTATCGGTGCGTTACCACAAAACACAATTTCCGCACTTCGTCCAATGGAAAATGTGTGGTGAAGGTGCTTATGTAATTGGCTTAGAACCGTCGAACTGTGGGGTAGAAGGTAGGGCAAAGGAACGCGAACGCGGCACCCTACAATATATTGAACCCGGCGGGCGGAGGCACTATGAAGTCGAAATCGGGGTGCTAACATCCAACGCCGAGATTGATGAACTGCAAGAAAAAATCGAAAAAACCCAAAATTAACGCTACCAATTTCAATGGAAGCCACAATTATGTAAGGAGAACCAATGAAAAAATATTTGCCTTTGCCGCTCATCGCGCTCCTACTACTCACAACGTTTACATTTATCGGTTGTAGCGCGAAAAAGACAGCACCAACGCCAGCCACCGTAGATGCATCTTCGGTCCAAGAGCCAGAAGAGAGAGACGCATCAGGCACTCCCGAGGCAGAACTGACGGATAAATCTCCTTCACCCGAAGCCGAGATGGCAGATACACCACATTCATCTGAAGCGGATGCGGAAGACGAATCACATTCTCCAGACGTAGCACTCGAAGACAAACCTCGTTCACCTGAACAAGAAACACACCATGAAACTGAGCCTGAAGAGACAATGTCAACGGTGGAAATCCCGAGTGGCAGTGTCCTACATCTAATCCCAGAACACGCGTTAGGAATCATCTATTGCCCCAGTCTGGCTGAATTGGATAATCGGAATAATATGTTGGCAATGGACTTACTGCCGACAGCCGAGCCCCCAGAGCTTCTCGCCAGCATCTTGGCAGACACCTTCGGGGCTGGATTTGAAAGTCTCGCAGAACTGGAAGAAATTGGGTTAGATCTGAACCAAGATTTTGCAATCTTTACAACCTCTTTCGACCCGCCACATCTCTCTGCCACCGTACATCTCACGGACCCTGAAGCCATGAAACAGGTGATTGCAGCGGAAAGCGAAGGAAGTGCGCCTACGGAATATAACGGCGTGACTTATTGGAGCGCGACCGGCGCAGATGGCAATTTCGCTCTCCTAGAGAACACCCTCATCTTCTCTCAGTCGGCTGAAGTGTGTGAAAGTGTTATTGATACCTATAACAAAACGAAGCCTGCTGACATAGTCTACACATCACCAAAGTCCGATTACGGGACATTCCTTCCGACTGTTTCAGACATGGCAAACCGGCACAACTCGTCAATGTATGACATTTCGATCATTGAAGCGATCATGAGCCTGTGCCAGTTGAGTGCGGTCCCTGCGGTGAATCGGAAGCAATGAGAGATAGTCTTGAAGCGGATCCGAGTGCTACGGCAGCGGTTCCTTTCTTTGAAAGTATATTCGCCAAAGCCATTAGCACGTTTGAGCAGGTGAAATCTCTGAATGCGACGCTTGAAGTTGAAGGAACCGATCTGAAACTCGCGCCATTCCTGAAGTTCAAGAACGACAGCGACATTCAGAACACATTAATGGAAATGGCTCCTGATGAATTGGTACGCCTCGGTGAGCTTCCAAGTCGGGCTTTTATAAATGGTGCTTTTCAAGGTAAACCCGAGTTGATGCTTGAGATGAGTATGTTCTGGCTCAAAATGTTTTCACAAGACTCCAACCCAGAACATGCTGAGATATTTACCGAATTTGCCAAACAAATGGAAGATTTTTATGCGGCTCTCGGTGAAGAGTGGACTTTCTCTGCTAGCTTTAGCAATAGTGTTATGCCCGATTATTTGGTGGCCATCTATGAGTTGAAAGATGAACAAAAGGCAAAAGCCTATATGGAAGAATCATTGCTTAAACAGTTCCAGGTCTCAATGGAAATTGTTCAAAGCATGATGGGTGTGATGTTGTGTCCGAGTCCCTTGATGATGTACGCGAGACGCACACTTCACGGTGCGAATCACACATGCACACGTGTGAGATCAAGCGTTATCGTCGTTTCCTAATTTCGTTCGGTGCTGGCTTCGGAGAAATGCCACGCGAAGTTGCTGGGTTTATACCCAAAGAGTGGTCTTGGTACTACGCTTTTTCCGATGATTATTTGCTTATGGCAATGGGCAGTCCGGAACTGCTAAAGATGAGCCTGGATAAGAGAGCGGGAACCAGTACCGCGCTTAGTTTCTCTGGAGAGCCGAGTTATGAGAAACTGGTCACAACCTTGGGATTGGATAGTAACCTATTTTTGCGACTTTCGCCAATACACCTATATTAAAAGTCCTCTCACCGATATCGCGAGACGGCGATATCCCGAATGTGCTGCTACAATGCAAATGTTGTCTGGGATGTTAATGAATTTGCCAGAGAACTACAGCATCGGTTTCTCTGCTAAAGTCCAAGATGGTGGCATCGGCGCAAAACTGCTTCTCACTCTCGGCGACTTCAAGCAGGTGATCCAAATGATTGCGATGATGCAGGGTACGGGACAAATGCAGTAAATCCGTTTCCAACTCGCTCACAAATCAATTGTGGGCGAGTTTTTTGTTTTCTGCGTATTCTTTTGCCCAAAACACCAATGTATCAATTTTTGTGAACTTATCTACAATTTTTGCGAAAAACCCTGCAATTTTTGCGAAAGTTACCACCTAAAAATCGCGTTATTTTCTCTCATATTGAAGTTATCTGCAAATCTATTCTTGCGCTTCCAATGAATTTGACGCAAAATGAAAATTAAGGTAAATTATCATTTCTTCCAACAAATTAGATTTTCTAATAATTTGACTTGACTTTTCGTGGAAATAACGTATAATGAAATCATATTAAGTCATATTAAAAATTATATAAATATATGATTAATTTTTTAATAATGCGCCAACATGGTTTAATGGTGATTACAGCGACGAATAGACTTTGACAAGCATTCATTATTGTTTTTCGCACATATCGTTAAAATGCAAACAATGTGCTTCGTTTGTGAAAATTTAGCACAAAAATTGCGAAAAAGCGTGCTGTCATCACCTTATATATTAGCAAGTCACGTTCTTCGTTTTTCAATGATACAAGGATCGATCCTTCAACAGCAGTGGTGGCAACTTCTGAGAAAGGTTTTGTCTAGTGTGGTGTGTGTGAAAAAGCTAGTTATCATTAAGGCTTCGTTTGGATACGTGTCAGAAGTGGGATAGTTTTCCAGTCCACCACTCTTATGCGTTCCTGAATCCTTAATCGAACTTCCTTTAGGCAAAAGCACTTTCAACTGTTCGCTGAATGTTCCAGTTGTTTTTACATTGCCACCGCGCTCCCATTATTTAGGCAATATCCTTGATTAGAGGGTATTACCATGTCTCTAAGGAGGAAAATCTATTGCCTAAACTACATGCTACCTTTAATGTTTTTGTTATGAAAAATCGGCAGTATCAATACTTCTTCGGTATTAGTATCGCATTTTTATCCATTTTTGCCGCATTCGCGGTAGCTGATACAACTGAAGAGACAACAGAAGCAGCTGAGGCTCCAGCACCGAAAAAAAGTCCTATAAATCCGCGGTGCAAATGCGGACTAGAACTACATCTATGGCACTTACGCCGGTCAAGGACGAGGCGAAAAGATCGGTGGTGTGGATCTTGAGATTTTCCGCCTCAATGCTGATATTGACTATCACAACATCATTGGTCGACTTGGATACCGGTGGTATCCCAGGTATTACGGAGGGACCCACGGGTACAGCATGATACACACAGCGTGGTTAGGGTATAAGCTCAGTGATTCCGGCACACTTAAGGCTGGGATTGTTCGGTACCCTTCGGACCGACCGCCTATGGCGTTTCTACGAGTTGGTTTTTTGACCAGCATTTTTATGTCGGGCTCTCAGATGATCCCGATTTGGGAATCAGATGGAGTGATACCCTTGATAAACTGACACTTGATGCTGCTTACTATCCCATGAGTGAACCCCAAACAATAGGGGGTAGTCTTAACAGTTCTCGATACGCCTACGATGTCGTCAAGTGGGAAGAAAAAGCCGATGCAAAGGGAATGTTGAGTGGGGTGCCGGTGAAAACGGGTTTGATGAGCAACATCAATTTAACCTCCGCGCAATCTATGCACTTGAGAATAGTGCGGATCTAGGTGTGTCGCTGCAATACGGACTGTTGAAGGGGACAAATGTCGAACGATGATAGTGGTAACCACTATGCTCTTTCCGCACACATGAAGAACTCCTTCGCGGATTTCACGCTCTTTTCACAATTCTCTTATTACGCACATAACATCACTGACAAAACCCCTTGGGGCACCGGAGATTTAATCCCCATGGGGGCTTACGACTTCGCCTGGCCCATCGCATCCGAAGGATTAATACCTGCGCTATCACTGCGATACGGTGGTATAGATGCCTCGGGTATCTCATGGGTTGATAGCGTCATGCCTTATGTGGAGTGGAGCACTATCCTGAAAACGGTGGAAGACTACAACGCCAGTACTCTTGTGACAATCGGGGCAAGCTGGACGGTTTTAGGCGCACTCTATGTGTATACTGATGTAGGACTTTCCAATGGAAACTTCTTTGTTGGGAACAAGACTGGTGATGGCGAAGGAGAAGGCTACGGTAATATCTATGATGGTGCCGGTGACTTTGGTGCTAACGGAAATAACGCATGGAATTTACGACTTAACTTTAACTTCGGCTATTATTTCTAATCGGCTACGCGACCTTCAACCGTAGGCACGCTTTGTAAGCGCGCACTTCGTTCCGTGCGCGGTTAAAAAAACCGCCAAATTAACTCTAAAAGGAGAATTTTGAAAATGCACGAAGAAGGAAAACAACCACAATACATGGAAGAAAGGGAGTACAGGAAGTTATTCGGTTTAGAGATTTACCTCACGCCTGTATTTGTGATTTCCAGTATCGCTATCATCGCCTTCATCATGGGTCTCTTGTCTTCCAAGAGGGCGCGCGACGAAACTTTTTGGAAACCTCCGAGTCTGGCTCACCACGAACCTCGACTGGTTTTTCATGATTACTACACCTCGTCACTCTTTTTTGCCTGTTTGTCGCATTTTCTCCGCTCGGCAAGTGCGCCTCGGCGGCCCAGATGCGAAGCCTGAATATTCCTACTTAACTTGGCTTGCATGCTTTTTGCTGCAGGCGTGGGTATTGGGCTTCTCTTCTTTGGCGTGTCGGAGCCGGTTACCTATTTTCAGGGTGGTAGCTATTCGCCGCTGGGGGATAGAAACGGTTTACGACACAGATACTGTCTACACCGCTGGAAATGTTCCCGAACGCTGGGGATCCCAAGGTTCACAACGGCGGCTCCTTGGGTTCATAGCGACGACGGTCTTCCACTGGGGTTGCAAGGATGGGCAATCTACGGTGTCGTGGGCTTGCCCTCGCGTTTTTCGCTTACAATCGAGGTTTGCCGCTCCTCATCCGATCTGCCTTCTATCCTATATTCGGCGACCGGATATGGGGCTGGCCCGGACATATCATTGATACCTTCGCCATATTCGCAGGAATTTTTGGACTCGCAACCTCGCTCGGTTTGGGGGTCCGACAGGTAACCTCCGGCCTTGACTATCTGTTTGGGATTCCGGCGAACGGTCTCACCATGGTCCTCCTTATTGTAGGGATTACCGCCATCGCGATGGCTTCGGTGATGACAGGGATTAACGTCGGGATCAAACGTCTCAGCCAATTCAACATGATTCTCGCCTTTGTTTTGCTATTGGCTGTTATCGTCCTCGGGCCGACACTCTACATTTTCCGCAGTCTCTTCTCTGGACTTACCACTTATGTCATGAAGATTGTGCCGCTCAGCAACTGGATCGGGCGCGGAGACACCGACTTCTTTCACGATTGGACAACGTTCTACTGGGCGTGGTGGATCGCTTGGGCACCGTTCATCGGCACATTCATCGCTCGCATTTCCAAGGGACGCACGGTTCGCGAGTTTGTCATCTTCGTTCTGCTTCTACCAACGTTGCTATGTTTAATCTGGTTTAGTGCCTTTGGTGGCACTGCTATCCACCAGTTCCTCACTGCGGGTTACACGGGCGTAACCGAAAAAGTTGAGACATATAATTACGAACTCGCACTCTTCAAAATGTTTGAGGAACTCCCGTGGGCAACGTTGCTTTCCTGTATCGGTATGACGTTGACAATCATCTTTTTCGTTACCTCGTCGGACTCCGGATCCCTGATTATTGACATCATTGCGGCGGGCGGCAAAGTTGACGCACCGATACCACAACGTGTGTTCTGGTGTACCGCAGAAGGCTTAGTCGCTATCGCACTACTACTTGGCGGAGGGTTAAAGTCCTTACAAGCGGCCTCCCTCGCAACAGGTTTCCCTTTCGCGATTGTGCTATTGGGAATGGCTGCCTGCCTCTGGGTTGGGCTTAATAGAGAAGTAAGGGAATCACGCTAATATCACTGGTAATGGCTCTTGACTTTCGGCAACCTACTACTGGCTGCCGATAGTCGAGAGCCCATATAATGGAATCAAAATATGAACGCAGCAGAACTTGAATTTGAAAAACCGCTCATTGAATTGGAACGCCACCTCGCGCAACTGAAAATCTTCGCGGAAACACATCCGGAATTGGACCTTACAGAAGGGATTGATGCGCTAAAACAAAATGCAGATTCGCTCACAAAACAGACGTTCCAAAAACTAAGCCGCTGGGATAAAGTGAAATTAGCGCGCCATGCACAACGTCCGCAAGCTCCCTTCTATATCAACGCGCTCCTTGATGAACCCACCGAACTTCACAGCGATAAGTTATACGGCGACGACCGCGCACTCATTGGCGGTTTGGCATGGTTTGATGAACAACCCGTCGTCTATCTCGCACAGCAGAAAGGGACAAACCTTGAAGAGCGACAGGAGATGAATTTCGGGTACACACACCCAGAGGGCTATCGCAAGGCAAGACGATTAATGCAGTTGGCTAATAAGTTCAACCGTCCCTTACTCTGTTTTGTCGATACACCAGGCGCGCACTTCGATCTTCGTTCCGAAGAATACGGACAAGCAATGGTGATCGCCGAGAATCTTGCTGAGATGATATCACTGCGTGTGCCAATTCTCGTCGTTATTATTGGTGAAGGTGGGAGCGGTGGTGCGTTGGCAATTGCAGTCGGAAACCGCGTATTGATGATGGAGTACGCCATCTATTGTGTCGCACCACCTGAAGCCTGTAGCGGTATTGTGTGGAAGGACAAAGGCGAACATGCACCAGAGGCAACCGAAGGCTATAAACCGACCGCCCCGGATCTGATCAAGTTAGATATCATCGACCAGATGATCCGTGAACCCCTGGGCGGCGGCGCACACAGAGCTCCTGAAGCCGCTGCACGCAATGTCAGACGCGCAATACGTAAACACCTCACCGAATTGATGCAGATGACGCCTCAACAACTCGTCCAACAAAGGTATGAACGTTATCGACACATCGGGCTTTATGGAGAAGATTCTGCTTGATAAGAGAATACGAGTAATATGAAAATTCGGACAATTACCACAGGCATTCCACTCCCTTTTTCCCCATACCAACTTCAACGTGCTGCAAAATTTAACGCTGCCTGCCAAACTTGTTTTGAAGCGAACGGTTACGACGTACAAACAACACGTGTCAGCTGTCAAATCTGGGATGAGGTGCGGGATGTAGATACAATCCTTAGGTTAGAGTCCGATGCACAGGCATTGGGAATTGATTTCCTTAACTTGGGTACAATCCTGCCCGAGAAACGATGCACCCAAACGCATCTGTCGCGTGTCGCCGATGTGATTGCCCAGAGCGAAATGCTTTTTGCCACCGTCACCGTTACGACACAATCTGGGCATGTAGCATCGGATATCACTGAAAGCACTGCAAACGTCATTCAGCAAATAGCACACCAGACCGATGCTGGCTACGGAAACCTCCGCTTTGCAGCATTAATGAACTGCCCACCAAATACACCCTTCTTCCCAGCTGCATTTTGGCACGACACCAGGACTAACTTCGGTATCGGATGGCAGGCGGCAGACCTTGTGCAACATGCTTTCACGGATGCCCCGGATTTAGAAATCGGCTTGCAAAACCTGAAAACTGTCATGGAAACGGAAGGGCAGAGGATTGTCGCGCTTCGCACAACATTTGCCAGGCAGTGGGGGCATAAAGTTCGTCGGCATAGATGTGTCACCCGCACCGATGGGCGATGAAAGCATCGCTTACGCTATGGAGCAACAACTGCCCGGTCGTTTTGGCGAGCGCGGCACCTTAGCGGTCGCCGCAGGTGTGACACGGACACTCCGAGCACTCTCCCTACCATTATGTGGCTATTCGGGATTAATGCTCCCTGTCCTTGAAGATGTGGGACTGGGAAAACGCAGTGAAGCAGGCTATTTTACCTCGACAGTCTCTTGCTCTATTCTGCTGTCTGCGGCACCGGCTTGGATACAATTCCTATACCTGGCGATGTTTCGACCTCTCAGATCGCATCTATTCTAACGGATGTTGCTGCCCTCTCTACGCAGCTCACGAAGCCTTTATCGGTGCGTCTTTTCCCCGTTCCCGGGTGCACTGCAGGCGACATGACCCAGTTCCAATCCCCCTATCTGACAAACACAACTGTTATGTCTGTCTGACATACCTCAAAGGCTAAAACCTTGAGTTTCTTTTGCGCCTTTGCGCAAAAATTGCGCCAACTTTTTTCTTGTCAATTGTCGCATCTTTTGATAAGATGATGTGATTGGAATTTGGTGAGCGTTGTCCACGCAATTGACACACATTGGAGGTACTTCGCAATGTATATGCGGCATTGGTTACAAAGCCCTTCGAGTCTAACACACGGCAACATCATTAAACGCGAGATCTTTAGCAAAAGCACAGCGGACGTTGCAGATAAAGAGGGTGCAATCCTAAAATATGTTGATAGTTTCTCGCGATGTTATCTTGAACCGAGAATAGCTTCAGTTCCGACAGCATTGGATGATCGGCAGCTTATTTTTTATGTTGTTGATGGCACCGGTATATTTGAGGCGGGAGATGTGAAACAACAGGTTGTGGAGGGGGATGCGATCCTAGTCCCGCCCGGACTCACACACGTCTTGAATAATCCAGAGAATGCACCGCTCGAATTTCTGATGTTGGAAGAGGTTATCCCGGATGGCGTGGAGGCACCACGTAAGGATGCACTCATCCGAAACTACCGCGAAAACCCTTTAGGACAAGGGCATTGGACGCATCTCGTGCATCCGATTTTCGGGCAAAACGACGGTTTGGTGGTGCTGCATTCAGTCCTAATGGTGCGGATTGAAGCGATGCAAACACCTGATACACACGGCCACGGTCCAGATATGGATGAGGTCTGGTATATGCTTGAAGGCAACGGTATCCACGTTGTCAGCAGAAATGTTTATCGACAGATGCCGGGTGATGCTGTCTCTGTAGCTTCATCAAACCCTGGGCATACCCTTATCAATGACACAAGTGAACCGCTCAAGACTTTTTACTTCGCACGATATGAGGGGTAAAGGTCTTTTATCTGAAACAAGATCGGATGTCGATTCTTGTTATGAGGACTTTCTCTTAAACCCGCCTTGTCCGTTAGGCGGGCTTACAGGGCTAGTCGATTGGAAATAAAGTAATGTCTGACAAACCGCATGTGCTTTGATTGCGGACAGATCATTGGCCCCAACCGGTTATAGTGTTTAGTGGGATCCCGCTACTCAAACCCAACGCTTGACGCGCTCGCTCGCGCGGTCCACGTTCACACAGCGGATACAGCGAATGCCCGGTTTGCGTTCCAGCACGAAAGACATTGATGACCGGGACAACACCGCGCACCCACAAAGATCGGGTTTTTGACGACCAGCAAGGGCTAAATGGATCCCGACGGTTGCACAAACCTTTCGTGATGCAGGATATCAGGCTTACGCTGTCGGCAAGCTGCATGTCTATCCGCAACGTAACCGCATCGGATTCGACGATGTGCTATTGGGTGAGGAAGGTAGAACACAATACGGCGTGATTGATGATTATGAACTCTTCCTCGGCGATAGAGGCTATGCCGGTCAGCAATTCGCGCACGGTATGTGTAACAACGATTATCTCAACAGACCTTGGCATCTCCCCGAAGACTGCCACGTTACCAATTGGAGCACGCAACAGATGGTCCGGATGATTAAACGCCGGGACCCAACCCGTCCCGGGTTTTGGTATCTCTCCTATTGCCATCCGCATCCCCCTTGTGCACCCCTCAGTGCATACTGGACATGTATAGCAATATTGACGTAGACATGCCCTATTGTGGGGGATGTGGGCAAAGCAGACGGAACAGCTGCCTTTACCCATAAAAGGTCGACAGAAACAGGACGAAAACTTTACAGAGGACCAGATTCGTTCGGCGCGTCAAGCGTTTTATGCCCTCTGCACGCACATTGACCATCAGCTGCGTGTCGTTATCGGTACTTTACGGGAAGAAGGCATGTTGAACAACACCATCTTGCTTTTCACATCCGACCCGGCGACGATATGCTCTTGGGATAATCATCGCATGTGGGCGAGGGCGCAACGCTATCTACTATGCAGACTCCGCTAACGTGCTATGCTCTGTCGGTACCACAGCGGCGTATTGTTTGATTACTGCGCGGGACATCGGATGTAGTTAGGGATGACCGACTCTCGCGATGCAGGATGTAAGTGCCGACACGTCCTCATCTTGCGGGACAGTTGAATCCATGATACCGTCGATAGGACTACCTATGGTAGGTGACCAAAGCGTGAGTGGTTGTACGGTGAATGCGGCGAAGGCGGGAGTGCAACCCGGATGATTCATGATGGACGCTTCAAGCTGATCTATTACGCCACGGGAACTACCGACAACTCTTCGATTTGGCAGAAGATCGAGGGATATTGACGACCTCGCCAATTCGTCAGAGCACACTGAAATACTTGATCGATTGACAAACCACTGATAGGTGAACTCTACGGGAGCGATGTGAAAATGGTTGAAGCGGTTTTCTGTTTACCTCGCTGGGTAAACTCGTCTGCGGTTACAGTATCAGGAGTACGTCCGTCTCCCAACCGCGCTTGCTTATCAGGTCTATCAACGCGGGCTCACACTGGCCACCATTCTCCCTCTACGTGGCGTTGTTGAATGGCTGTCAAACGAGAGGGTACAATTGAGCAAAGGATCATCGTTAGGTTGGTTAGCACGCGCGAAAGTAACAGACGTATTTTCATGATGCATACACAATCCCAATTTTGAAACGAGACAACCGATGCTGGTTAGAGGGACGGCAAACAGTGAATACCCAACGCGTTATGAAAGGCGGTTTGGACACTTAGCGAGAACCGGAAAATCGCGAAATCTGCTAAGTCGCGCGATACATCCGCCGCTATCAGACAATACAAAACAATAGCGTCCTCACCCAGACCCTGTTCGCCAGCGTCCGCGTGCCTCAGCGAACTAATTTTTCAGGTTTCCATAGGCAGGGCCTTATGCAAGCTGTGTCTTCTCAGATGCGCTGTTCTTTGTGTGAGTCCTATGTTCCTATTATGAGTAAGCCCAAAAATAGATAACATGCCTATCATAGCGGTCGCGTCTCCTGCTGGGCGAGGTTTTCCTAACCTTCACCACTTTTAGTGTATAGGTAAAATTAATTGTTGCTTTACTATAAAATCGTTGAATTTCCACATCAAATGTGCTATTATTTTACCTACAAGTCGGAAGAAACACCCGCTACTTCGGTACGCGACGTTTTGCGGCGTTAAGCGCGCAAAGATTTGTGAAACGGTTTCACACGCGACTTGGCTCTTCATGCGATCCTGTATGCATTCCTAACCTCGCCGGTTACTGATTCACGTTATTTAGACAGAACTCTCTAAAAATTTATGCCAAAAAAGAAATCAGACACAAACTCAAATAAAAACGGTGCTACGCTCGGCTTTGAAGCGACCTTATACAAAGCAGCCGATAAACTCCGAAACAACATGGATGCCGCTGAATACAAGCATGTGGTATTGGGGTTAATCTTTCTCAAGTATATCTCGGACGCTTTTGGGGAAAGGTATAATTTTCTGCTTGAAGAATTTGCCGATCCTCAAAGTCAATACTACGTCAAAGAGGAAACCTCCCGTTTTGAATTTGCTGAAGACCGGGATGAATATCTGGCAGAAAACGTCTTCTACGTCCCGAAAGAAGCCCGCTGGTCTTATTTGCAGGCAAATGCCAAGCAACCGCAAATTGGGACGCTGATTGATAACGCAATGCTTGCAATTGAACAGGAAAACCCGCGGCTCAAAGGCGTTCTCCCGAAAAACTATGCACGTCCGATGCTTGACAAGCAGCGACTTGGTGAACTCGTCGATCTCATCGGAACAGTCGGCTTAGGTGAAAAAGAGCATCGCTCAAAGGATATATTAGGCAGGGTCTATGAATATTTCCTCGCACAATTCGCAAGTGCTGAGGGTAAAAGAGGCGGTCAGTTCTATCGCGTTGTATTGTGCAGCTGCTTGTTGAAATGCTCGCACCCTATAAGGGACGAGTTTACGACCCGTGCTGCGGCTCAGGCGGTATGTTTGTCCAGAGCGAAGCGTTTGTTGAATTGCATGGTGGACGACGCGATGACATCTCTATCTATGGGCAGGAGTCCAACCCAACGACGCGGCAATTGGCACTGATGAACCTCGCGATTCGTGGTATTGATGCTAATCTTGGGATGGAACACGCCGACAGTTTTCACCACGACCTGCATCCAGACCTGAAAGCCGACTACATTCTCGCGAATCCGCCGTTTAACAGTAGCGATTGGGGTGGCGAACGGTTGCGTGAAGATGGGCGTTGGGTTTACGGTGTCCCGCCACCCGGCAACGCCAACTTTGCTTGGGTACAGCACTTTATCTATCACATCGCACGCACCAAATGGGGATGGATGTATTAGCAAACGTTCGTGAGTTTCGAGTTCTAACCAATCCAACGAAGGTGAAATTCGCAAGCACATTATTGAAGCTGACTTGGTGGATTGCATGGTGGCGTTGCCCGGACAACTTTTCTATTCTACACAGATTCCAGTTTGCCTCTGGTTTATCGCAAGAAACAAGAAAAACAATCGTTTTCGCGAACACACCGGTGAGACACTTTTTATAGATGCTCGCAAGCTCGGAGTGATGATTGATCGCGTCCACCGAGAACTCACTGATGAGGGAGAAATCACGCGACATGACTGCTACTATGCACGCTGCGCGCGGCGCGTGCGACGCTGGCGAGTATCTGATGTGCACTAGGTTTCTGTCGGCAGCATAATTCTTGCAAACAGAGCCACACTACAAGAGCACAAGCCAGTAGTCTGACCCCTCCCGGTTCGCTATGTGGGTGCAGAGGCGCCAAGGGGACGAAGACGAGCGAACACTCTGCGGACACATATTGCACGACTGACGAGAGATTAAACCAGGCAGATGGCGGCAGAGCAGAGCGACGGACAATTAGATTGATAGGCAAGTGTGACGCGGGATGCACAGAAACACAGCCGGAAAAGCGGACCGGAACTAGCCATTGTACTGCGGTGGGGAACGTCATCTGGATCGAATGGAGATTGAGAGTGAATTTCCAGTGACGAAGAAATCAAACGAAATGCGGTTAGGCGAGGGACGTCATGGGGATTCAAGGAAATTGAGTTCGATGGAAACTATACCCCAAGCGGTCACCGGGACGTGACGACCTGGCAGATGAACTTGCTGAGTGCTGCATCGCCAATACAGATGGTGGGTGCTAATGTGCGGTGTACCGACAGCAGCGAATGTTCAAGGGATGTCGAGCGACAGCTGGACTCCTGGAACGATTCTTGACGAACTTTGCCCCGACAAGATTCAACCTCCGATTCGCCCTACATCATTCGACAGGGAAATAGACGAAGAGTAAACCATTTTGTCAAGTACAGTTCGGAAGGTGATGCACAAAACGAAGCCCTGG